AGGGCGGGGGTGCAGGGCGAGGGAAGATCAAACACAAGATAAAATAAGACAGAACAAGGACAAAACAAGATAAGATAAAACAAAATCATTTGTTTCAGCAAGCGTCTGATGGCACTTGCAACACAAATAGGTCGTATAAGTGCTGAAGATGAAAAGTGTTACAAGAGAGTAACAAACTACTAAAAAAGATGAAGATGTTTGATTGAAAGAAGTTGAGAGAAGATCAAACAAAGACAAGATAAGATGAGACAGAACAAAAGGTGATCAAGATAAAATAGAACGAGATGAGAAGAGAAAAGATGAGTTAAGGCAAAATAAAATAAGATTAGACAAGATGAGAATTGATATGGCAGGATAAGGTAAGTAAAATAAAACAGAATATGGTGAATTACGATCCAGTAAGAAGAGACAAGGCAAAAGGAGCCAAGATACAATAGATAACAAAAGAGAATTTAGAGTAAGACATAGCATTAGAACCTAAGAAATATTTTGAAGCAATCTTATTTCAATGATCATAACGAGTAAAAGTCAAAAAGGAGGAAAATACACCGACAGAAGCACCGAACACGCGAAATAAAATCACGATACCCTACCACACCCATAAAAATTATTAACATCAATTTCAGTTTCAAAAAAAATCTTGTAATTAACAATTAACATACCTTTGGGGACAGGGAAAACAGCTTTACCCTGGTCCAGCGGTAGCCTGGTTTATGTTCCCCGATAAGCCTATTTCGGCACCTCGCCTTCATTCCGGTCGTGTGTCAGTCCCGCCCTGGCTCAGGGCACGCGCGCCGAACGTTATCCGCGTGATGACAGTGTCCTGTATTCTCGCAGCTCAAGTGTGTGTGCGTCAGTCTGCTTGAGTTTGTATGCGTTTGTGGCCTACTTCTAGAACTGCATGCGTTGATTCGTAACCGAGGCATTCATCTCATTCAAAACACGCCAAGTTGGTAGCTCTAGATGTTCGTCCAATGAAATTAGAACAAATTGACCCACTTAAACATGAGGAGCTCGAAAGGATAGTGAGGAAACAAAACTTCCATTTTATTTTTCTACACAAAAATCTTTCAAATGAGCTTGATTTTGTATGAAATGATATAACCTAATAAAAAAAAGCTTATTTAATAGTTTTGAATACCATTGTGCAGGTAAAAAGAACAATGTGAGAGCAAAACATTCGGAAATTGACCTATATTATACCCTTTCGAACCCCAGATCATTTAAAACAACAAGAGCGTCTAGAAAAGTTATTTGAATGGGCGTAACTACTCATTATGTCTTATCAGCTTATGAGAGGGGGTTATTCATGTGTTCTTTACACTTAAAAGAAAGCTTTAAAAGATACAGCATTAATTTCATCATCAATTAACACACTCCCACGCTATTCACTGCGAAAATGTTTTTAGTGCCGCTCGCTGGGCACCAACAGTACACACTGAGTGACCCTCGCGGCCTGCTGATAAGATTCGCATCTCGGCACAAGACGCAGGACAAGAGTTAATGGGCTTGGACGGAGTGGTACTATTAGGAACAATAGAATCACCAATACAAATAATAACCTTGTTACCTTTCTTTGATTCTATGGTCAAACTTTCCTCTAACCACACAAATCTAAATTTGCTTCGGATTTTCAAACCAATTTCCTTCATTCTGAGATCAACCAATTTTGTCACTTCCTTCATGATGAACTCTTTCATGATCTAATTGAGCTAAATAGGTCCCACACTAACACTGCAGTCTCTAGCAGTTTCGCGATGACGGAAGCGCTGTGAAATTCGAGTATCACATACACCGGCGGATTGCACGGGCCGATCGCTAGGCATTGTATTGTCGATGCGGATAAGCGGAAGATAATTTATACGAACCACGTGACTCACAGAAAGGAGGAACTGGAAGGGAAAATGCAGAGAAGACTGAACGTGCCGGATTTCCAGGGATCCGCAGAAGATTACGACCACTATTATTTACTTATCACAGCAACTGATGCCATGGACAAACTTCGCCAAGAGCAACCCCTTTCCTCCCCACACCATTCTACCGCTATCCTCAACCCTGACTAGTAGACAGACTACTAAATTTGCATTTGAGAAAAGTGAAGTACATTGACACAATAACAATGACACAATTTAAAGCTGGAAAAAGGCCACACAAAGAGAGAAACAACAGAGAGAAAGAACAGGAATAGAACATACAAGAGGCAACATCCAACCACCCACGGTTGATATTATAACTGACCACAAACTCAAACATAATAAAATAAATATCACGAGCAGACGGAATTATCTGCGAAGGAGACCTGTTTTCGACAATTGCCGAAAAGTAATTTGACATTGAAGTCATCATAGGGGATTGTACCCGAGCCACTGCCAGCACAGCGGTTCCGACTGCGAGTCTCTGGGAGCTGCTTTTTGGAGATAAAGAGTTAAGATACTACAAGATAATCTGTATATTATATATTTTTATTTCCATTTTTACCTTCTTTGGTGATGTGGGTGGGAATTCCACTCCAACAGCAGCTCCATTAGTCTCATAAAGGGTAGCTAGCGTGTTGTTGGTGATCAAGCTTTCATAGGGTTTCTTTGAGTCTGTGATGTCCACCTAAACAAAACACAAGGGAATCATCACTTCAACGCATTCAAAAATCATCAAATGAAAAATAAAAGGAAGCAATAGCTGTCACTGGGTGTTCAACTGCTGATGGTTTTATCTTCATTGGCACTTTTGATGTATTTGAGCACAAAAAGGTTGAGATGACGCATTCAGACCAAACCAAGCATACTCATTTCTTCATCCATCTATCAATCTTTGAATAGTTCAATCTTCTAGGATAATTCTAGTTTAACAACTGGAACAAAAAATGCTACATCTGAGATAGATCATAGGTAGGTGCAGAAAGAGTTCTTTAATCAAGCGTGAACTTAGTCTCATCATGTTTCCTCACCCACAGCCTCAATAAACTTATGAGCATTATTGACATTGCTTTAGTCACTGGTACAGACACATCTCTACTTAACAACGGACAAAAGGGTGAAAAGTTCAATCTACTGAGATAATTCTGGTTTAACAACAGTTACTACAGAGATACTTCCAGTCTAACAACTGGTCAAAGACTGAATGGTCAAACCACAACAACAATAACAAAAATGTATATATCCCCACCCCGCCCCATCACCATTTTCAACATCTTACACAGCACCAGATAGACCCAGTTGCTTCAAGACAAAAAAAACTGACACAATAATAGACTTACTTAGGAGATCTGAACCTCAGCTCACTACATTACCGTGCATCCTGAAGCAGTCGCGGAGGCCGTAAGACACTGTTTGACCTTTGTCTCAAGAAGCTTGCATTCCGAGTCTATTGGGGCCCTGATCTGAAGAGACAACTGTGTCTCATCGGGAATCACATTGGTCTTCACCCCTCCTTTTGTAATAATAGCTGGGAATATAGCCAAAGTGAAGTCTTACAAGAAAGAGTATGCAAATCCATGATTATAAATTTATAAATGCATTAACCTCTTGTCAACACAATTCTAGATCATTTAGGAGGTGAACTGCTTTAACCCTGCCTGTTGGTGCCAAGCCAAGCCTGGTGGAATACAACATTCCAGCAGCCAAGCACAGACACACTATAAAATTATTTCCCGAAGAGTGATTCGAACTCCCATCTTCTGAGTGCAATGGTGAAGCAACTCTAACCAACAACCAGTTTACGATACTGTGAAAATTTCACAGTTATGACCAGCTAAAAATTTCCCTGTGCAAATTCTTACAAATAAGCATACGACTGTTTCACAAGCACGTGGCATAGCACTGGCAGAAAAAACAGGCTAAACACATAAAAACAATTGGCATTGTGGGATATTAAACATATTAACAACCACCACGCAACATCATCATCATCATCCGGTGCCTTGTTGACTGGCGTGGGCGATCATGGACCTCCACTTCACTCTCTTGCGCTGCAGCGATGGTGTTTGTCGTTCTTGCTGTTCCAAGCCATGTTGTCAACTTGTCCAGTATCTTTTTCCCTCTGTCTGCCTCTGTCTCTCTTTCCATTAAACTTTCCTGTTGTTACAATATTCTCCAATGCTTCTTTTCACACTGTGTGTCTAATGAAATTTGTCTGTCGCTTTTGTATATTTGTCATAAGCTGTCGTCTGCAATTTGCTTCAACCAAGACTTCTTTATTTGTTCTTCTAGCTATCCATGGGATAGCTGAACCACAACTCTTTCGCCTCAAATTTTCTTTCCAGCTGTCTATTAATAGTCCATACTTCGCACCCGTAAGATAGGACTGGCTCGATGTAGCTTTTCAGTACTCTTTTTCTTGTTTCCAGAGACAGATCGATGTTTGTAAGTATCTGATTCATTTTGTGGATGGGTGCTTTTTCTTGGCAAATGCGGCTTTTAATTTCGGTGTGACATCTCCCATCTGACGATATAATAGTCCCCAAATATTTAAAATGTTGTACTTGCTTGAGGGTGGTACCAATGACTTTGATATTGCAGGTTAGGGTTGGAATTTTTCTGCTTATCACCATTGTTTCAGTTTTCTTGATGTTTAGGCTTAGGTCCATGTTGTCACTCTCTTGTACGATGACATTTAATAGATCCTGAAAGTGTTTTTCATCTTCTGCTATTAGGACTGTGTCATCCCAAATGAAAAGGGAGGAGGAAGGGGATTTGAGGAAAAGAAGTAGGATGAACAGGATGAAGAAGGAAAGCAATACATAATTTTACTTGAACGAAACATTTGCTCCCAAAAAAATTTTGTGGTGAAAATCAAGAAAAACTGTTTTAAAAACAGAATTTATGAAACATTATCTTTTAACACAAAGTATATAACTACAACAATCCTTCTCCCACTTTTTCATTAGGAAAAAAAAGCAGTTTTAGTATCAAACCCCCCCCCCCCCAACTCACTGTGTACTCTCCACGTCGGCCTCATCTGCTGGCGTAGAGCTGCCACATTCATATACCCGAGCACAGCCGCATCCAGAGCATTGACCCCTTCCCAGGGAAACCCTCCAGCGTGCGACGCCCTGCCGTGGTAGTCCACGATAAACCTGAAAGTTGGAAAATATTTTCAATATAATAATGAACAAACAGCCAAGAATGTCTCTGATGGCATAGGCTACTTATATACAAGACTAAGCATCATGTTGTGCTTGTAAATATAATCGAGCAATCAGAAAATAAACATGAGTCGACAGAAACAGTTTTTCCTTAATAAGTTTTAATTAAGCTGGTCTATGAAACAAAGTAAAATTCTTGTAATAACAAATCCAGCCATTGAAAAAAGGCCCTAAAAACATAGAACAACTGAAAAAAGACAAATAAATAAGTATGGTATATAGATCTATAATCTAGTATATATATATATTATATTTGTGAAAGTTCGTCACTTTGGTCACCTAAAACATCAGAACCACTAACTTTTGAATTTGAAAAAATTAACAGTGGTTCAGAATCATTTAAAAGGTGCACAGTTAAATTAAGGAGTCTGAAGTCACTGTAGTTTAATTTTCAGTTTATCATTAGTTTCGTTTAGGACTAATCTTGGGAAAGTCTGACTTCAAAGATGCCAATGTAAACATATGAGGCTTCCGTTCACAAGCAGTGTGAACTGATTCCATAATGACTTGACGATCTGTTCTTTTGAGTCGGTTCATTGAATGGGTACCCAGCTAGTATTAATATGTCATAGGAAAAGTACAGAGTAACATTCAACATTGATCATTTAATAATCACAATCACTCGGCTTGAGTGTCAGGCTCTCATTCATTGCTGTCTCAAAAAAATGAGTACCTCCAATTATTTTTCCTCACTATGTATTGCAGTTAAGCAGAGTTCAGCATTTTTCTTTGTGACAGTCAAATTATCAGCTGAAGCAGTTCATGTTTGAAGGTTGCTGTTACTCTGAGAATATCTGGCTGTCGGTTTGTTTCATAAGCTGTCACTGCTCTATTCCACCCTGTCTCGTTCAGTGATTCAAGATGCCTTTCAAACTTAAAAAATAAAGTCTGCACAGTCCTATTATATCAAAATCCTTTAGAAAATGCACACAATAAAACTATGATTTCCACTTTTGAAAACAGTCACACTTTAAATGTCATTCTGAATTCCGTATCTTCAAATACAACTAGAGAAAATCTAGATCTACTAAACTTACCCCCAAAAAGATGGTGAAAGTTCATCCCTGAGAGTCTTGTATATTATATATATATCTTGCTTAAACACTTCTAATCCTTTCTCTATGTTAATTAAATATTGGAATTCAATATATAATATTGGAAATTCAGTGACAAAGAAAGAGGCCTTCTTTTTCTCTCTTGAACCTCAGTACATAATCATCAAATTAATCAAATGTGTCAGCAAGTGGTGGAATCAGGCGCTCGTGAATTTTAGTGCATATGTTGTTTATTGGTATCCTCTTAAAGCCTGTTCATTTGCCTTGCTTTTGGTGAAAAAAATATCCATCAATGTTGAGTAGAAGTCGAAATATTTGCGATTGAAAGAGGTCAGGATCGCCTGGTTTCAGAGGTAGAATTAGCGATAAAAGGCAGCCAAAGTTTGGTAATTTCCATAGCTTGAGAGTCCTTGGAAACTGAAAATGTACCTTTTTTTTTGGTGCCTTCAATCAATGTTTTTCAGGAAAATTCCTGCAGAAATGTGGTTTTATATGAATATAAAAGGTGTTGAGCCAAAAAAAGAAAATTATAAAAAAATTGCCCAACGGCCAGAAAAACGCCAATTTCTTGGATCTCATTATTTAGACGAGCGCCTGATTTCACCACGATGCCTCACAAATTATTTCTCACTAAGCTGAATGCAAAAAATCTCATAAATTAAAATAAACCCAAAAAACTAAGAGCACACAGCTTACCTTTTAGAAGCAAGAAAAGTTGGCCTGGCATCAGTGAAGGGGGCCGGGTGAGCCATCATTGCTACATCCACACCATCAAACACACCAGCATTTATCAGGTCGATCTTACCTCCACCTCCTTCCTCAGCCGGTGTGCCTATGATAGACAGCTAGAGGCAGAGACATAATATTATGACAACTGGTATTCACACTCATAAAGTTTCATTCACGATACATATTTTCATCAGTTTTCTAGATTTGTTATTCCACAGGCATTCAAACAAAAAGTGCCAGTAACACAAATTGACGGATTCAGAATCTTTATAACACATAACTCAGATCATTTAAGAGCAGACTGCTTTGAACTTGCTTGTCAGGGCCCATCCGAGCTAAAGGGATAAGCCATTCAGCTCCCAAAGCAGACAGACAGAGATACTACAGGTGGCTAAAATCACATCCCTAAATGGGAATCAAGTTCTGTGGGCAATGGTGAAGAGCATAACGATTCCACCATAGATAGTGGATCATTCATTTCAAATGTGGGACTGTGTGTAAAGTGAAGCGTATCGACAAAATGGCAATTATTTAGTGCAAGAAAAAAAGTCAGATAGTTAGAAAGAAGCAACAGGAGAAAGGAAAAGAAATAAAAGATTTGCAAACAAGTGGAGTCCTCCAACTATTTGCAAGGAAAGGGAAGTAAGGAACAGTTGTCTGAAACAACTACACAAATTCTATCCAGTCCCACCTCTCACCTTGCCACTGATATTTTTATTCTGCTCCAAAGCTGCCTTGATGCCCAGTCCAGCAGCAACCCCTAATTCTGCAATGAGGTTGTGACCACAAGCATGGCCGATTTCCGGGAGAGCGTCATACTCACAGATAACAGCTACATGAGGCTTCTTCTGTGTACCTGAAAGATAATTTGGCAAAAAAAAACCCTCTTAAGTTATTAAAAATATGTACGGTAAAGGGCACGAATAAAAACATACGTTATAGTGATGCTCACTATTATGTTCGAAGTTTCATAAAAAACGGGGAATTTGGATTATAAACAAATTACATTCTAGACGTTACATTCCGAATATCCCACAATTACATTCAACTCAAACTTGAAAGTCAAAGACATAATAAAGTGAACTTCTCTTTTCACAAAGAAGTTTTTATGTCACCCCATTCCTCCCCCCCCCCCCTTCTTTTTTCTCTCCTTCTCTCTTTTCTTTCTGTTCCTTTCCGTGGGTGTGAGCATGGGTGTATGCGTGAATGGGTGGGTGTATGCGTGCGTGCGTGTGTACATGCATGCGTACATGCATGCCTGCATGCGTGCATGCATGCCTGCATGCGTGTGAGTGTAGGTTTCTCTCTCTCTTATCTCTCAACCCCCTTCTTGAGTTTCCCATTCCTGAAAAGAATTGATTTGAAATTTCACTAGATGCACACTAGATTAAAAAACAGACCTGATCAGGCCAGCAGAGTAAAAGTTAAGACTCAATACTGATAATAATAATAATAATAATAGATAGCATTTGTATTTGTATAGCACAAATCCCTGCTCAACAGCAAGCTCTATGCACTTCACAATTTATACTATTACCCCAGCAGACCTGAGAGCATTCTAAAACAGCCTCATCTTCCTGGGAAGCATACAGTGCCAGCAGCCATTTAGAGGTGCTAAAACACGGATTAAAAAAAGATATCCATACAAATAGGAAATACAGAGGAATCCACTTAAACCGAACACGGTTAATCTGAAAACAACCGTAAACCAAAAGAGAAAAGAAGCCGTGACTTTTTCTCTTTGCTGCTGGAGCAATATTCAAAGCTGAAAACATGGCTAAACTGAAAAAAAAGCCAATGGTCCCACAGATTTCAGATTACAATTTAAGCGGACTCTACCATATAATCAAAATCAGAGCAAAAAGATGTCATGTAAGGGACTTCAACATATTGTCACATATGTATACATGCCCTTGCCTTTAGGCCGAAGAAGAATCTACATTCAGCTTGGAGCATGGCAAAGGGATGACGAAAGGAAAAGAAGTATGCTTGAGGAGGTGAAAGAGAAAAAAGGTGGTGGACATGGGGGCAATGGTAAAAAAGATTGAGAGAGTAAGATGATTACAAAGTCAAAGGCATCATCATTACTAGTTCAAGAGATAGGTCAAGAACAACAAAAATAAGTGATAAAAACATATATTTTACCTTCAACCGCACCACTTGATGTCTCAAAAGTGGCAACAAAAGCAGTTTCAATCACATGATGGGGCACAACTTCAAATCCTCTGTCCAAGAAAAACTGTGTTAATGTTGCATGCGACTGATGCTCCTGATAAGCAAGTTCCTTCAGGTGCCAGATCTTGCTGCTTAAGTCACACAATTGTTCACTTTCCTTGTCTATTGCATCACAAACTATCTTTTTTAGGTTATCCATTTCCAGCTGAGGGGGCATTCACCTTTTAAAACACAGGTCAAAATGTCGCCAAAGTATATCGACCTGCAGAGTCTGTGGCACAAGGGGGAAAAAAATCACAATTTAAAATAAAATTGCGAGTTAACTTTTTAGGTTGTTGTTTCTATTGTTAATGACCGTACATGTATGAATTAATCTGGATACTCCGATAGTCAAGTCCATTGATTATCTAGAGTGAAGCAGTTAATGATCTTGACCTCAGCTTTATCAGCTTATGTTACAAGAGTAGAATCATTTCACTTATCATCCTGAACACTATTCACACTTCCTCAACAGTAGACTTCAATACATTATATCAGATGGTTGTAAGAATGCACTTTGTCAGCTGGTTGAGAGGGAAAGATTTAATTTAATAAAAATTTAAGGAGTACTACCTTTTGAACAAGAAAAATGTGATATATATATATATGCTTTAGACTAGATCTACAGCCTACATAACAATCATAAAGGCATGAGAGGAGACGGGATTTATAATACTTTTTTCTTGAAACACTTCTTCTTCATAATAACAAAATCGAACATAATATTACTTTAAAAATACATAATAATGGTAACATTTTTCTAGTAGTAGCAGTAGATCTAGTAGTAGAGTACCCAGATTCTAAGAATGTTAGACGAACAAACAATTCAATAGGCTAACAGCTAAGATAAGGCTACCTATTTGTAATACAGTCGAGCCTGTGTAAGATGGCCACCCATTGTCAAGGACACAAGGGGTCGTATAAGACAGGTGGCCGTCTTAGGCAGGACTAATCCAGATGAAGGACTAAAACAAACCATTCCCTTCTGAGGTTCCAACCGAAGGTAGCCGCATTATTGTTTTTGTTTGGTTTGGGCTTTTGTTATTTTGTTGGTTTTGCGCAAGGGTGATAATAAAACAAAATGTGTCAGATAAGTAAGACCAAATGCAATGCTAAAACAAACACATGGGTCACCACCACTTGGAGAACGATCAACACCTCTGTCGCAAGTTCATGTCGACGTCCATTGTTGCTTTGTTACAATTACAGACAGGGTAAACAGTGACCATTCATCTCACTACGACTTGCGTATGAGTTCTGGGTGGGGCTTGGATCTGCCACTGTATATGAGGAATCACACGCTTACTTCACCAGCAGCTGTAAATTAGTTACCTATTGGTCAACCTGAGCGGGAGGCGTTCAACACAACATGATGATCGGTTGGAGGGCCAACCTAACAACAACAATGACAGGTTAGATTGAAGAATAGCCTACCGGACCACTCGTACTCTATTGCGCGATAAAAAGGGGTAGGTGGGGCGGGTGGTTGGGGTGGAGGAAGGGGGAGGGG